ATATTTAAAAATCATAAGGATATATTGGCGATGCTTTTAACTTCCTAATAATCCGTTTGTCGCCTGAGATCATCATAGAGCCACCCTATATATGACCCGAATCCTCACGAAAATATAACGTATAACAATATAGTAATGTATGACCATGATGTGATTGTTTTATTTGGTGATTCAAATTAGCCAATGGGCTTCAAGTATCACAGATCATACTGGGCGCGTACGTAACACCTGCACACATATACCTTTCTGTTTTCAAGTTTCATTGACCAATCGAACTTATGCATTCCGAGTCAAGCAGCGTCAACATATTAGATGCGTTTTTCAACATGCCGAATTTATATGTAAAAACAACATTGTTAACTTTATCATTACGTATTGTCGATCCCAAAAAGATCGGAAATAGAAGTGCTATGATTATTGTGCATTCCAAAGTCAAACTGTGGGTGCATGTGTTCGTAAAATTTTCTAGTGTAACAGATTTGAAGGAAAAGCGACGGCAAGACGGGGAATTTTGTCGCACCTGAATGCTTCCGACTTCCAGATGTGTTTTCAGTCAGACGTTAGGAGAACATGACTGATTACGCAATAGTTAGATCTATTGTATGATTCACATGAATTTGATGTGATCTATAGCTTCCATGAAGGTGTGCTTCTTTCAATGCACGTTTAGAAGATTTTTTTCTTTATTACAGGATAACCATGCAAAAGCGGAATTCCCGTAGCGACCGATTCAGATGTGGTGTCATGTAGCATTACCTCGTGCTTTAAGTCGTGTAAACTAAAGTTTGTCCAGGGCACCACTTAATCAAACTGACACTTATGTTTGGTTACTGCCAACGTGCAATAAATTCCAAAAATCATGGATTGCTTCCGGGTTGCTTCACAACGTTTTTTCAGGGAATAATTCTTCAAACGAAGATTTTTTCACAGTTTAATAATCTCAAGTATAACGAAATATCAAAAAGCCTTTGTGTTAGACAGCGCGATATTGGAGCTTGGTTGAAGATGTTTAAACCTGTAACGGTTTTATGCGAAGCCGGTGATTCGAAAAACGTTTATATTCAGTAAACTATTCTCCCCAGAATAATAAATTGGGCTTTGCTCCTTGCACCGTTCCAATATTTTCACGAAGACACAAGTGAGCATTTTTAATTTTTAATTTATTTTTCCCAGTTTCATGACCAATGAGATGAAAGCTACTCTAATTTTTCCAAACGTTCAATAAGCACGTTAATAATACCATTTTCCGTATGTTGAGGCCCTCATTTCTTACTGAGGCTTGAAGTATCATTTCTTACCGAGGCTTGAAGTAGGTCTGAATCTCTCAATCATTTAAGTAACTTGTTCGATAACACTGAGCGTCTGGCTGTGTGGTCAGCTTTCTTGTGAGCCTCGAAATTCAACTGGCTGGGAAGCAGCAAGTTTGCCGTTCAAAGGCTTGAGAGATTTTGGATATGCAGGTGCAACTGAATCGATTATATGTTTCAAAATTGGTGACAAATTGAACTATATTCCTTGTTGTGCTCAGTGTCCACAATATTAGGATCCACACGCGACCATATTCCATATTGTTGGGAACCATGTATCAGGCATACTTGGCGTAGCGGAATGTGAATGGACTCGTTTTTACTCTGGACTGATTGAAAATGTAATTGTGTTTGTGGTCATCATCGCAATCGGGACAGGATCTTTTTGTGCGAATTTAATGAATGTAACGCCTGATTCATATACATGTGTTGTCAGACAACTCTACCAACCTGGTTGAAGACCACGCAAATATTCCCCTACTGCGTTTGGAAGATGTTTGGGTAAAGGGGAATTATAAAAATACCCGAGTTTGGTTGAACTGAAGTGAGGTGTTCGTCAAATGCTCAAATGCTTATACTCTCCGGTTAATCGTGTATCGTAGTCTTTACGGGTCATCACGATATGGCCAGAGAAGGACAGCGACAAACATGAAGTTTGTTTATAAAATTGAGAAAACGACGGAAGTTAAGTGCGGCATAGAATCTTTTTATTATCAGCCATACCTTAGTCAAACCTAGGAGCAAGGTCCTACGGATATTCGAGAATTGCATTTTGGAGGCTCTACAGTTAACGTCGTATAACTAAGATATATACTTCCTAGTATTACGGCAAAATGTTATCTGAGGCATGTGAGAAAATAGCCAGCGCTAATTAGCTTGATGCTTTGCGACGCAGATAATTGTGCGGAGAAGCGATACATCAAACATGGCTTTGCGTCACTGATTCTCGATGGTGTTAAATAAGTCCTTCCTGGAAAGCCGATCCTGTTCATTGCCTACCAGGAAGGTCAGATTCCCGAAAGCAGCTGCTGGATGCCCGATATCTCCTGAGATCCTTCGCTTCGTTAGAACCTGATCAAGCAGACAACGCCCCATCAAGACGCAGCGCGTCATGTCATTGCATCGAACCCAGACAGCGCAAGTCAGCGTTGTTCAGTCAGACAATATCCCGCAATATGCAGGGCGTTACAGACTTCATCACAGCCACATAATGTGCACAAGCTTTGGAACCAATTAAAACAGGTCCTTTCCATAAACAGCTTGAGGATGTTGTGCTTTTTGCGCACGCACGCACTTATTCGCTGGTTCGAAATATAGCCTTTAACTTTCCCTCTCTAAATCAGTTTCCCAGGCACTAGGCATTGTAGTGGTGTCAGCAACAAAAACAGCTTAATAATCAAATATACCACAGTCATTGGAAATTTAAAAGCTATGTCATATATTATTGCGTTTATTTTCAAAATGCAGTCCTAAGCCAATGTGATTGGCCCATCTTCTTTGATCAGTATTTCGTCATGTGTTCTGACGGTCAGCTAATGTTTAACATTTCAAGAAAGATTTCCAACTAAGACAAGATATGTGAACTGCAAACCCACCGCGTACTCAGCAGTCTAGGTAGCACCCAAAGGTACTAAAATTTTGCACATGTGATGTAATTTTTTTCGGTTATATTTTTCCGGTCATACCAGGCGCGGTCCGATGGTTGGCTAAGTCAACAAAATGGGCCACTTAGAGACTGAAAAGCCAGGAGTTTGTTCAAGGTTTGTATAGAGTGCAATTCTACCAAGCATTCCTGAAACTTGTCAACACTTGTCCACTTACTATAAAAATAAAACTCAACAATGGATGCGATAGCGCACGCAATAAAGAAATGTGTTTCCCAGAAATCAGAGTCATTTCCAAGTAGGTTACTGGATATTGTCCGAGGAAATTCTGAAATCAGGAGGAATTTATTTATTATTAGATGTTGGCAGATGATAATTAGCCGCAAAATGCGCAAGAATACTGCGGTGTCTGAATATGTTAAGGACACATTTGCACCGCGCAAGGAAACTTGAGTGTTAGGCTTGATTTCGCGTGAAATATGCAAGCGTACATTGAGATTTGGAGTTTACATTGAGGCACGCTTTTCATTTTGCGCTGCAGATAGTAACGTAATAAAACGAGAATGGTGCTAGAAAATTTACTTCCCCGTCGAAATGAGGGATTCTTGAAGAGCAGCCCTTGAAGCATACCGCTATAGTTAACACTCTCTGTTATAGTCAGAAAAATAGACTGAATAGTTTCACGTGACCCTTTACTAATTCCATCCCGCAAGGAACACTCATAACTTACCTGTGTCAAACAAGTGATTTCATCCAAGAAGCCAAGGTAATCTAGGCAAGAAGCGATGTGCAGCTGATTCATCCTTATTGAGAGTCGTCTACCATGCTCCCCTAACGGACCTCCTAAGAGTTTAGATTGCGTAAACATCCGAGTAGCAGTTTAACGCCTAAAGGTTCTAGTACATTGGTAGATATGACATAGTGCCCCTCATCCTATAGTCGGGAGATCCATGTCAAGCAATCAGATGTGTTGAGTGGATCCTCGAAGAAACGTTTCTCAGATGAAAGTTTCACATCCGAGTTGAAACTATTCATCCGCTGAGTTAAATTAAGTTTGTTGGTGGTCTGAGGAGATGTTGGTACTTTGAATCGATGTCATCCGGCTCATCCGATATTACATTGTTTCTCGTTACACTGAAAATCCGCTACTGAGAGTAATTCGCATTGGTTGTTTTTGTTAACCTAGCCGTTAACCCAAGAACTTTCATATGCTATATGTCCCCATGAACATACCAGCAGTATTGAATTTCAAAAATTCTGATAAATATTTTACCAAGTTAGCCAGCTTCAAAAATGAATTCATATATTCAGAAGAATATAGCCATATGTTACTGGCCTTATTCCAATGCACTGGACGTGTTTTAAAAAGAAACGTCCAATGTATAATCAATTCCGTCACGAGTTTCTGTGCGCAGCGGGTACTGCGAATAGTTGGACAAAAAGAACACGTGAATTGCGTTTCACGGCCATGAGCGGTGATAACCGTTTAGAGAACGTACGGCGGTTTGGTTCTGTTCCTTAATCGGGGCGATTTCTAGCATGATAGTATGTTTACGACGTTGGACTTTTATTATCAGGATATTTGTTTCGCCGAATCAATTCGGAAATCCTAGCTTAGAAAATAAGGCCCATTTATATTCTAAGTATTCCAGGATTAGTTCGAAATTCCCTGCTTTTACGAATGTAATGTTGTCAATTTTCGTTCACAATCGTGCAATGCAAGCCTCTACAACGACAAGTGAGTCGATAAATTTCCTGGTGTTTTTTCGATAACGATTGATCTGTTATTGTCGACCGTGTGTTTCAGGCGACTCGTCAAACTGGAGATCTGGTGTCTTCTTATTGGGAAAAGCTCCACCATACATATACTGCGCCAAGACCCCAAAGAGTTTCAGGCGACTCGTCAAACTGGAGATCTGGTGTCTTCTTATTGGGAAAAGCTCCACCATACATGTACTGCGCCAAGAAAAACCCCAAAGAGCGTGGAATCCACCATTTGTTCAATCATTTGTAAGACACACCACGTCCTGCAGTCCCTAGGATGCGCGGGGAGGATCCTCGTAACGCAGAATTGATCGAATGCGTCGATTTAAAAATTTAGTACTGGCATAATAAAACAACTGGTGAATCAACATAAAATCTTTGCTATGGGTAGTTATTCCAGTCAAGGCAACGTAGACGATATCTTCATAGGAAACCGTATTGCCACTGCGTTCAGGCATCTCGCGGTCGTTTACAATATGCCTACATGAGAAAACGTTGTGCGGGGCAGCGCTATTTTACCACTGATTTCCATATTTTCTTGTCCACAGCGCGATGACGACGGTGGGGTTGGGTATTTCTACCAATAACGTATTAGTGACACCAGCTTTATATGAGCGGGGGATAAACACAAAGAGCAACTGAAAATCATTAGTACCAGTTAGGTAGACAACGGAATTAAATGGGTTTGACAAGATTCATGATCGTTTCCAAGTACGTAACGGGGTATGATGCCAGAAACGGTCGAATACTGGGGAATAATAATTATCTTGGGCTGATGGCTGAGAGCAAATTAACGAGACTAGAGACTAACATGGTTTTCGGAAATGGTAAATACAAATTTGCTCCGGGTGAGCAAACCAAAACTTGGGTGATAGGATTAATCGAATGTGAAATATGGAAGCATGAATTGAGGTATAGAGTTCACACTTAGGTGCGCTTCCGTAATTGCACTGCAAATACTGAAGTAATAAAACATAAATAGTACAAGAAAATTTACTAGCTCACCCAAACGAGGGTTTTATGAAGATTGATCGTTGGACCTTGATCGTTGATCATTGTTAACACTTTCCAAGTTTCAGTCATGCGATATCTTTAGAAAAATAAAGGAAATCCTTGCACGTGCACGCTCCACCTATTCCATTCCGCAAAGAGCTGTTAAAACACATTTGTCAAACAGGAGGTTTAAATCCAGGTTGCTCGCAGAATTCGCTACCTAATCTTGGGCATGAAATTTCCTGAAGAATTTTAATGCGATGCCATGGAGCAAGCACTTTTGTTAATACACTGTGTATGCACCATGATCGTTGAATCAGACAGGCTTGTAATGAAATGTATGCCATCTTGTGCTTTCCCTTAACAGTGCCTAAAATTCCCATATTGTATCAGCTCAGAATAGCAGCGCCACGATAGTGAGGTGGACAGAAATGGACAAAAGAATGCCTCAACGCCTCCTCCGGGGTTCTAGCCTTGTTTCGATGTTTCTCTATTACTATCAAGAAATTCGTTCCGTCAAATTGTTTCGCAGATTTCAGGTTGAAAACAAAGCTCAATATTTTTTCGTATTTTTGCCCTTGTTCTAAATTTCCTCTATTTACGGATGCAATCGGGTCACTTTTTTTCACAATCATGCCCTAAAAGCCACTACGACAACAAGCGAGCCAACGTATCTCCCGCGCGCCAATTAGATAACAGTTAACCGGTTATTTCGGCGGTGTCTGTATACGTATACTGAGAAGAACGAACCATCGGAGAGTATGGAATTTACGCCGTAATACCACAGCGATGACGAATATAATGGCTTACAAAATGTCTGGAGGAAGATAAATTTTATATGACTATACTACTTCTGCTCTGAACAGCAGCGTGATGCTAGCGAGGTAGACAAAAGTTCAACGCCTCATTTGGGCACTTGACAGGTGAATCCCTCACCTCCTCATCCAGTATTTTAGCATAACATCGCATGTGTGGGCCGGTCACGAAGTTTGCGCTTTATTATCACGCCATTTGTTTCTCCCCCATTAGTTCGCAGATCTCAGCTTGAGAAATCAGCCCCAGTTATTCTAAGGGTTCTCACATTCGTTCAAAATTCGTTGCTTTTACGGATGTAATGGTGTTAATTCTGGTTCAAACTGATGTCACACAAGCCCCTTCGCCCACTAGTGAGTCAATGTGTTTTTCTGTGATAATCGGGTAACAATCAACCAGTTATTTTTGAGTGGGTTATTATACTTACTGCGGTCGGTTGCAATAACCTAAATGCTTCCCTTCACAGCCTCAGAAGGGGCCCAACTAAAAATCTGGTGGAAAAGTATAAATGTTTTCCCAACATGGCTCTTTCAACCTAGTAAAAACAGGCAAAATCTGTACAGAATTCAGGAATTTTATTGCGATGATGTGGTCCACAACGATTTTGCAGGCGGATAGCTTGCTTGGGACACTCATAAAATACCACCGCTCTTATAACTTTTGTGATCACATATGCCACTCGTAAAATTATCCAGACTGTCAGCATAAATGCTCATATTCCAGTAGTGAAACTATGGACTATAAAACGTTCTTAGTTGCAAGCCACGCGAAACCGTTTCAGGCTTAAAACCGAGCATTAATCGTCTTTTTGATAAAAGCTCTGAAACAAAACCTTGAAATTTATAATATAATTCAAAACAATTGCTGGGTAATAGCAGTGATTACCCGTTGGAGGCTCTCGCGAATTGGCAGAATAAAATGGGCGTTGTTAGGACATTTCCACCGGAGAGCTGTGACATAAAATGAAATCCAGGCTGTTCGGATATTTCGCACGGAAATTTTCGGAACCAATGTGAGCATGTGGTATTCAATCTGATACAACAATACAAGGTATTCGTTTATTCGGTAGCGGATGCAGGGTGCTGCATTTGGGATTGCTAGGATGTCAACGATGTTCAGCTAGCTCCCAATCGAGCAGCATTCGCTACATAAATACTCTGTATACCGGCAATCCGATCCTGGTTAAAACTTCCACACCCAATTTAGGCATTTGACAGATGAATCCTCCAACGGCTCATGCAGTATTCTAGCATAACATTGCATGACTGAGCTGGCCGCGACGTTTGCTTTTAATTATCACGACTTTGCTTTCGCCTCTCTAGTTCGCAGATCTCGGCTTGGAAAATAATCCCCATTTATTTGAGGTATTCGTGCATTTGTTCCAAATTCCCCCTTTACGGATGTGTGGTCTCAATTCCTTTTCAAAATGATCTCCGACAAAGCACTACGCCAACGTCTGAGTCAACTTATTTCCTGCGTGTTAATTAGCTAACGAATAACGCTTTAGTCTTGAGGAGGTATATTTCAGCTAGTCCATTAAATGGGGATTTGAGGTCATCGTCTTCGGCAAATCCACATCATACAGATACTGCGTACAAGGTCACTCTGGAGAGCGGGGAATCGAAAAATTATTCCATCACTTATAGGACATCCCGCGCACCGCATTCCCCATTGTGCGCGGAGCCAATAATATTTTGATCGCATCCTAATTAACCGTGCTGCATTCCGTGCTGTTGAGTTTGGGTGGGCTTCTGTAAAATTATTCAAATTTACGTAGTATCTTCCGATTTCGGTGACATTTGACGCATAGAGTCACGAAAATGTAAATTCGCGAATTACGCAATTTCATTCCGCAGAGCAAACATGTCTCAACTCTCCGCATATTATCATTTATTTTGAAGAGCATGGTCACAAACTTAAAAGTGAATGCAAGCGATGAATGCGAAAGAGTAACAGGAGAATATGGGAGAAATAATGGAAGCGTTTCATTCGAAATCATGTCAAGGACAGTGCCAGTCTGATGAGGTGAATCCCATATTATGTAAAGATTTTGG